GAGAGAGAGGGAGGGAAGGAGGGAGAGAGAGAGAGAGTATTATCTGCGAAAAATTTGAACCCAAATATAATCGAAATTGTCGAAGATGGCCATCAGTCATCAAGAAAAAACTGGTTGTCTTATACAAGTGAAAATACTAGGACAGTGTCATCATGATACTGCGGAAAACGGAAGGGAGAAGTGGTTGTTCTGTGCAGGAAACTTGGACAGGTGGCCGATAGGGCAGGTTCGACCGTATCTCAGAAGTGGGTGTAACTACGATGGAATCTTGTCATTGTGGGAGATCAGACTAAAATTTAAATTACTCTGCACTGATGAATAAGAAAAGACGTTCAATTTTGTATTTTTTCTCCTTACTCCTTTCTTTTTTTTCTTTTTTTAAATGTTACAGTCTGAACGTTTTATTAATTTTCAGAAGTGAGACGCATTTATCAGAGCTCAGTTTAAAACAGAGGTGTAATAAGATATATTTTCTATACCTCACACTTCTAAACTCTATGGTACAGACATGAAAATCCAGAAAAATAACTCATTGCGTGAAACCAATATTAATTATTCAAACCCAAAGAATCCAAATTATAGTCATGTATAAACTTGTGCAGATATTCCAACACATTTTACGTCTGATATTCAAGTTGAAACAATCTGCTTCCTCAACGATCTACACGTAAATTGTGTTAAATGTTTACTCAATTACTCTGATTTTAAGGTTTACAAGGTGGTACAGACATGAAATTTGGCAAAACAGCACCTTGCATAAAACCAATATTCTTATATTCAAACACAAAGGATTCAAGCCATAATCTTGACATGTTCACGTCTTTCTCCTTTCTTCTTCCTTCCTCGATCTCGCTGCCACTACCAGCGGTGGAGAAGCCCGAGTACGACAGCATCCTTAAACGTCTGTTTGAGACCTCGTACTTCCGCTGTAAGATCATCAGGAACGTGTCGGCTGTGGAAGCCTGCGGGGCACTCAAGGTAATCCTGATAATAGTAAAAGAGGAATCCATGGGAAAAATGTAGTAGTCGCAAACTGATAATCGTGAGGGTACCAATTTTGAATGTTTTTTAACTCGTAACTGTATTTCTGTTCAACTCTTGATCGATTATTGTTGTTAGATTTCCCATTCAACAAATCTAACAATAAACTACCAGTCAAACAAATACAAAGTAATAAGTTCACAAGCTTTTAAAATTGTCACCGTCACAATTTTCAATTTTTCACTGTGCCCATTTTTCTCGTGTGCTCCTCAAATAGTATTTGTATAGCATATATCTCCACTCAACAGCTAGCTCTATGTATACGCTTCTATTATCTATTTGTGGTGGACGAATGTTGCTATTCAAAAGGCTTTCTAATGGCTGCATCGATCGACATGCGGTTTTCGCCAAAAGATTCTTTAAAATATTCTCCAGATCATGAGGCCCTTGGTTTTTTTCTGTTTTGAGACAGCTTTGCTGAAAAAAGCTTAAGTTTTTTATTTCGCCAATCGCTTTTGTAGGCTGACGCTTCTGTCTCTGTAATGTTAGAAAATCCGCCAGGTTTGTTCAATTCAAGTCGTACTTCCATTCGATATTATCGCGCATTGTTGCGCAATACTGGGCACTATTTTAAGTGTCCGACCCGAATGGATCTAGCCTCTTGTTTTCCTTTTTTACTTGGTGCTAAATTCGACTGTGATCCTTTCGTTTGATGCCCATCATCGCTTTTTCTGGACTCCTTTGTCAAATTCTTTTTCTTGCTACTGGGAACAATGTTAACAGGTCTTAGATTAGAATCTAGTTCTGCACCGATCATTCCTTTCATCGGAAAGGGGCTCAGCTAGTTACAATCTAAATTTCACTAACTAATTCTCTTCTTCTTTCAACAGCAAGTATGATCGGTAGCCACACAGTGATTGTCTTTGTGTGTATTTGTTCTTTGTCAGATTATGAGTGTTTGTGTATTTGAAAGAATTGTACATTGAAGGAGACGGTGTGCATACATTTTTTATTTAAATCTTGTTTTATTGTGAAGTGCCCAGAGCCACCATAAAGTGGGCACTTTAGAAGTGATCTTTATTATTATTATTATTAAATTATTATTATTGTTATTACCCTAGCAGGCCCAAGAACTCTCAGGAACATCTTCGGCCCCCCAGGAAGCATGTAGTGCAAGCAGCTATTAAAGCGCTCAAAGATTAATTAACTAACAAGATCTTTAACTGTCTGTAGCCCAGTACCTATTCCCACCTGGTGAAATGAGGAAAAATTGTCTAAAGTACCTTTCCTAAGGACACTGTATTGGGCCTCGATGGGATTAAAACCCAAGACCTTATGGTTTCAATTCCAAGAAGCTGACCTCTAGGCCAGTGTCGCCAGTGATGCAAACACACCTAGACCTGCACATTGACACACATGTGAGGCTCACGCTTAGTTCTTCTACTCTCAGACTCTCTTACTCTTACTCTGGCACAAACCTCCAAGTACATACTGGTCCATTATGACTAGAAATTATATGTATACAGTCGGACACTGATACATTATGACTAGAAATTATGTGTATACAGTCGGACACTGATACATTATGACTAGAAATTATGTGTATACAGTCGGACACTGATACATTATGACTAGAAATTATGTGTATACAGTCGGACACTGATACATTATGACTAGAAATTATGTGTATACAGTCGGACACTGATACCACATGTTCCCCTGGGGGCAGTGCCACTGACTGTAGTGTCTGATCTAAAACAGGGAACTGCTGCTTTTTCTTTTCTAATCCTTACTATTGTCATTTTCCTCTACTTCTTTTGTATGTTTGTCACTCTCTTGTGACCTGCTATTTTGGGGTGCCTTCATAGTCGAAGCAGACCTTGTGCTGTTGAAGCTAGAGAGGTGAGCAGAGTAAGTCTGATTCCCTGTAAAGACTTCTCTGTTGATACCCACCCCTTGGCGCTCATATGACCTTATGCAGTTGAGAGCGCCGTAAAACCCTCTACTATAAAAAAATTTTTTTAATGATAACACACGAACACGGAAAACTGGAAATCTCAGATAGCTGATACAATTTTCCATTCCCTGACTGCACTGCATGCCCGAGGCTATTGCCTAATGGTTGGTCAATGTATAATGGATTTGAAACTTGTTCTCTCTCTCAGAACGTGGTGGGCATCGGCGCTGGTATTGTGGATGGTCTTGGATTTGGGGACAACACAAAAGCTGCCGTGATCCGATTGGGCCTTATGGAAATGATGAAGTTCACCAAAGTCTTTCTAGAATGTGAGTTCTGTCGACTTCGGGTAAATGTACATAACTACTCTTCAAATCCTAGACCGGTAAAATTTGTGCCTGGCATTACCGTGTAAGAAAGGCCCGCCCTTAGCAAACCGGAGCTGTGGCACTGAACTGTTGGTAAAATTAAACCACTATAGGTTGAAGTGTGCATTCGGTGCCCAGAATGGTACGGTAAAAAGGTGGTTTGTTAAGGTATGTAATCAGTTTTCAATACTTCAATCTGATGAAAGGTGTTATGTTACGACTTGCTTGAGTCTTGCAGTAGTAGATCTAGATGGTAGTTGATGTTGGTGGGGCCCTATCTGTTCGTCTTCAGGTAGTTATTGGTTAGCCGATGTTACTCGCTTCGGCTTCAGTGAGTGAGTGACACTTAGATTACCTGCGGCTTGCACGAAATCACGTGAGGTGTCAGTCACGTGATATGTCCTGTAGGCCTACGTCACAATAACTATTATAAAGGTGTGTTCACGCTACGTGTCCTTCTGTTCTAAAGGTGCGCTTGCCCCACAAAAGGCTGGCTTGGTATAAATGAAGAGGTAACTGAGAGTGCTTTCACGTAATTATGGCTTTTGTTCCCATGAAAAGAATGGGGCGTCATGTTGTACTAGAAAGATAGTATGACTGGTAGACTACCATAAATTACACTGTGTGTTGGGGAACGTTAACCTTGAACTCTCCTTAGATTATGAGTGGTGGGGTGGGGAGGGATTGGGTAGAAAGGTTGTGGTTGGGAGAGGGGTTGGAGTTGAAGTTGAAGAGGAGGAGTAGTACAATTTCATATTAGTATGGTTCTTCCATAACCGTATTCAACAAAATCTACACAGATCTAGATCTTCGCCCTCGTAAGTATTTTCCTGTTTGGAAAGGCGTTCACCTTTCTCTCTTGAGTTTCACGATTTGAGTGTTCCTTTCGCAAGTTTGTCTCAAGATTTATGCGGTGATTTTGCTACCCAAAGACTTGTAAGGGTTTGCGGGAGTTGCTGTGTTTGTTTGCACTGGTGTCTGGAGTGCAGTGGTTCAGCTCTTCACTGCCGCACACTGAATTATATGAGTTCAATTCTTATGTGAAGAGGTATTTTATGAAAGATTGAGTATGTCCGTCCACCTGCCGGGAGGCTGCATCTCTCTCAGCCCTGCCCTGGTTGGCCCTCACTAAATGCAGGGCGAAAAATCTCGGAGGGCCAGTGTGCAAGTCAGATCCCTTGGTGCTCTAAAATCGATAAGAGTAGGCTTCGGCTGCCACCCAGGCAAAATTCAAAATTTCCTACCAACTGAAAATATTTGGTGTGTCCCGCTCGCTCATATGACCTTATGCAGTTGCGAACGCCGTAAAACACTTTACAAAAACAAAACAATCACTAAATGGAACAAACGAAGAAGGTTGCTTTCTTAACATTAAAAAATTTGTCAATTTGGGCTTTAAATATTTTCAACTATATTTCTATTTTACCGTGGTTAACACCTAAGTATCGAGATGCAGATAACTGAAAAGCAAAACTGATATCTCCTCTTTTCTAACCTATTTTTTTTCTATTGTTTCTTTCTACTTGTTTCTTGGCGTCTGTGGTGTAGGCGTTCGATGCTTGCTGTGGCACACGGGAGACCCAAATTTAATTCGTCAGTGGGGAGAAACTTTTGTCGAGTATGTTGGTCTTTCTACTGAGATGTTGAATCCCTCCTAGCCTGGGCTGGCCATGACTGACAAGGTCAAGAACCGGTCTCCTAAATTAATTGTTAAATTATGTAAACTGCATCAATGGGGAAGGGGGGACTGTGTGTACAAATACCTACATTTAAAAAGAAAAAAATTTACATTAACACTTTGTCGTAATAAAAGGTTGTTGGTTCTTCTTCTTTTGCTTTATGCTCAAAGGTGTCGTACTGTATTTGTTCTTTCTAAGTGTTGTTGTCGTTCTGGGGTTGTTGTTTTTCCTTTTTGTCCACCATTTTTGGGCTTGTTATTGGCTGAGTTGGTATCTTAAATGCAGGGGACACTTTTTGATAGCCCTAATAGCGTAAGTAATAGCAATCTTGAATTTGGGTCAGTTCGACAGTTTTTCATTGCTGGTGTTTGAAATTGTCACTGTATTTATTGAAAATTCTATGAATGTTTGTCTGCCCTTGTGATCAATAGTTAGACTGGTTAGTTATGATACACTAGTGTTTGGCACTTACATGACCAAATTGTGTCAATGGTACTGTAAAACATATACATAATCACTCAATCATAGATGGTCCTATCGGCTTGATTCAAAATGAGAACTGGATGTTGAAACAAAAGTTTGACGTTTTGTATTTTATCCTCATTTCATCGCTTATCATTCAAATATCTTGACTGCTATTTCACGGAGCGTCATGTTATCGTCTCATAGGTTACTCAGCTGCTGAGTTCGGTAGGTATGGTATCTCTTCCACGCCTTCTGTCTCCTCCCTCGTGTGTTGTCTGTCTCTCGCCTCTAGGTCAGAGGTTACCTAACTAGGGTGAATGGTCCTCTGAGGGGGTATGTGAGTCGAAGCCTCAAAAGTTTGTGAGACGTTTCTCAAAGTCAGAACAAGAGAACTTTTTGTTGAAATAGATTTTTGTGAAACATTTCTAAAAGTCAAAACTTGAGTACTCTTTTTTAAAAATAAATTTGATCTTAACATGGTGACTCTCAGTTGATGGTGATCTCCATTTTGGGGGTGGGTGGGGGGGGGGGGGGGCAAACTGATCAGGTTTACAGAGTGCAACACATCCTTCAAAATACTAGCTTGCAATTATCTCCTCACTGATATCAATTTTTACTGCAAGTTTTGATACTGATAATGACATCAGCTTATTAAATGTAGATGGGGGGGGGGGGGAGAAATGGGGTAAGACTACTGGTGTGACTACAGACTACAGTTACGAGTAACATAATAGAGAATTTCTGTGGTGCCAAACCCCACACAACAACAAACTCTACGTATGTTACAATCTATATGTAATAAGAACATAAAAATCATAAAGTTTACATATAGTCCATTTTCACTAAGAAAATGCTCAATGAGCTTTATTACAATACAAATATTATTATTATTATTAAGTGTACCCTATCATCACCCTCAGCTGACTTGATGGCCTTCTACAACCATCTCAACCCGCCATTTTACAGGCACTAGACCACCAACATACTGACAAGATCTTTGTCTATGAAGGGTGTCATGCTAAGTATGGGGATTTAATGAACGGACTGGGGCCTTTGCGAACTTTCCGGTTTTTAGTTCAGTTTAATTCTTAAGGGAAGGGATCCACTTTCTGTTTGGTTAAAAGTCATTGACTGTGAAGCTGGTGTAAACACTTTCTGTCTCTGTCCGTCTAATGAAACCTTCAGTTTCAGTAACAATTTTTATATCCCTCATCTACTCCATCTTTCTTCTATTTCTTCCTTCATCCACCGTGTCCCTCATCCATCATTGTCCACTTCCATCTTTTTACTCATCCATCCCCTCCCCCATCCTCATTTCCCCCATTCATCCCTTCCCCCCCATTCATCCCTTCCCCCATCCATTGCTTCCCCCATCCAACCCTTCTCCCAACCATCCCTCTCTCCCTACCACACCCTCACCAAAGCCACTCAGTCTGTGAAAGATAAAAACCAGTGCGTGGGTTGTTAGCGGGTGCTCTGGTGTGGTTCGCTTCTTCTTTCCTATCAAACATCTATCGTCCTTATCTCCCCTTCTTCTTTTTTATGTTTGTTACTCTCTTGTAACACCTCTAATCTTCTGGCGCTCGTATGACCTTATGCAGTTGCGAGCACCGTAAAATCTCTACTAAAACTAAAACTAAAAACCAGTGCCAGGTGGAGTTGTTGTTTTTTCCTATGCACCCTTGTAATTCTACTCTTTGCTGGTGGTTGGAGGGCACCTCTTGTTGGTCCTATTTCTTTATTTCCCTCTGCTGATTCTGTCTGTCTGTCTGTCTGTCTGTCTGTCTGTCTGTCTGTCTGTCTGTCTGTCTGCCTGTCTGTCTGTCTGTCTGCTGTCTGTCTGTCTGTCTGCTGTCTGTTTGTCCGTCCGTCTGTCTGTGTGTGTCTGTCTGTCTGTCTGTCTGTCTGTCTGTCTCTCTGTCTGTCTGTCTGTCTGTCTGTCTGTCTGTCTGTCTGTCTGCTGTCTGTCTGTCTGCTGTCTGTTTGTCCGTCCGTCTGTCTGTGTGTGTGTGTCTGTCTGTCTGTCAGTCTGTCTGTCTGTCTGTCTGTCTGTCTGTCTGTCTGTCTGTTTGTCTGTGTGTCTGTCTTTCTCCCAGCACCAAGTAATGGATGTCGTGCAGACATGCTTCTCTCTACTCAAACCAACAAGTGGAGTTTTGTACTTTAGTTCATCCCACAATTTTCTAACGATATTGGACACTGTTTTTTCCTGTCCTTCTCTTCCTCTTCAACATTAACGGTACAATTTCATCATTTGTCTTAAGTCCCGACAATTGATCGGTAGCCCAAATTCTCATTTATATTTTCTCAAGTCATATTTTCTTTCTCTGGTCTGTATTATGCTCCCTTATAAAGTCTTTGATAGTTCTTTTGAGGATTAAAAAAAACAACTTGTATCATTAATTTCTGAAGAAACGGTTCATGGATTAATGTGACCGTCCTCATTTATTTCCTTTGGAGTTACAAAGTTACATATAAAAGATTAAAGAGTTTCATTGCTTAAATCGAAAATTTATGTATTCCTGTGATAAAAGAGAAAATGTACTTCTAAAAGCTCCTCTATAAATGTAACACAGTAAACGGTAGGCCTAGTAAGATAATTGAACTTAAGATATTCTCATCTATTACAGGATAGTGAGTATTTCTTTGGAATGTTCTAGAATAACGCCAGTCCTCCACCACGTACACCTTCTATTTCCTTTTGGCAACGATTTAGATTCATCTTACGGGTCTTTGGCATATTTTAGATAGGCGCCTAAAGCTTCACTTTCCCTGACTGTATCGATGTTAACCACTCTATCTCCCCATCATATTATTGAGTCTGTCTTCCTTTCTCTTTCTACTTTTCTCACACATATAAGCTTTCAGATAATTGTATGCTGCAAAGAAACTGTACCCCCTAGGGCAGTGCCACTGACTGTAGTGTCTTTAGGCCATTCCCAAATGGGGGACATTTCTTGTTCAAGCACAGTAGAGAATTGTAAATGGGCTGATTCAACATGTCACGCTCATAACTGTGCATGATCTACAACAGGGAACTGCTGCTTTTTCTTTCCTAATCTTTACTATTGTCATTTTTCCTCTACTTCTTTTGTATGTTTGTCACACTCTTTTGACCCGCTATTTCCGGGGTGCCTTGATAGTCGAAGCAGACTTTGTGCTGTTGAAGCTAGAGAGGTGAGCAGAGTAAGTCTGATTCTCTGTAAGGACTTCTCTGAGTATTTCTTTGGAAATATGTTGTAGAATAACGCCAGTCCCCCACCACGTACACCTATTTCCTATAGCACTTTTGACCTTATGCAGTTGCGAGCACCGTAAAACCCTCTACTAAAATGTTTTTTGAAAAGAAAAGAAATTGTCATCGTATGAACAGCTCCTACACGTAATGAAAATGAAACATTAATGATAAATTATATTTATGTAGCGCATTTCCTCTAGGAAAGTGCTCAATGTGTTAACTGTATGAAGAACATAGTTCCATAAGTGCTCCTCTCTCAACTGTGGTGCTCACATGATCTTATTCAGTTGTGAGCCCCGTAAAACTCTAACTATAAACTCTCTCGACAGTTTTACTAAATTACATTGATCAACCGGTAAGAAAATTAAAAATATACCTCAGCATAAAGATGCAATTTTAACTGATTGTCACAAGATTTGCTATATGTATATCAGTTTTTGGGGGGGTTTTTGTAAAGCTATTTTTTTTCTTTGTTTTTTGTGAAACGTTTCCATTGCCTCTTGTATTTTTCTGATAGTTCTGTAGACTAAAGTACTGCCAAGTGTCTATCACAAGATGCAAATGTTATGACAGCTTCAGTAAAAACTTGACATGCAGTGTTTTTTGTTGTTTTTCAATGCATTTGGAAGATCTTATTATTTTGAAGCTGTGTTGTTTCTATGTGGATGTTTGAAGGGAACCTGTGGCAGGTCCTACATCTTTTCTGCTTTTCTTTTGTTTTTGTCCGTTTGTCCTACTTTCCCCCAAGAAGTAACTAGTAACTGTCCACTATTGTGTCAATGTGCTTATTTTTACTCTCACAAATAGAGAGAAAATGTTGCTCTTTCTTTTTTTTCTTTCTTAGTTCTTGTCTGGTTCCTGTTGAAATATCATGTGGATGAGGAGGAGTGTTATCAAGTATTTGTGCCGGGACATCGTATCATTCTCAGCCCAATGTGGCCTTCATTGGCAGGGTCAAAGCAGCCCACCTCTTAAATGATCTAATAAGTGTCAAGTCGATGGAAGCAAATTAAAACTTCTACAATTTTTTCGTTGCTGTTGAAATGTGGCCGCTGTCATATCATCAATACGATTTAGAACATCTCAACTTGGTGTGTTGTTAATAATAGGTTTTTCACAGCTCTGTTTCATCTCTGGTACTTTTGCTACACATTTCTTTATTTCAGACGAGTCTGACAAAAATTATGAGAATCTTAGCGTATGTCACAACAGAAATTAAAATTTGTATGTTCCTTGTTTCTTCCTTTTGTTCTGTCAGTGCAGGTGGTTGGAGGGTGCCCTGGTATGTCCAGCTTCTTTTCTTTCCCTCTGTTGGTCTAACTGGTTTTCTTGCTTTGGGTGCTCTGTTGTGGTTTTTTCCTTCTTGGATGATCACACCCCCGTCGTCCTTACCTCTCTGTCTTCTCTTCTTTGTATTTTGCTTTTTAGTAACGCGTGTAATCTTTGCACTTATATGACGTATTTATGTTGCAAGTGCCGTAAAACCTTCTTTCCTATCAAACATCCTTATCATATCTCCCCTCCTTCTTTTTTGTGTTTGTTACTCTCTTGTAACACGTAATCCATTCTTCGGCACTTATATGACCTTATTGCGTTGCAAGTGCCGTAAAACTCTTACTAAAACTAAAACTAAACCAAGGATACCTGAACTAACAATATTTTGAAGGATGCCTTACACAAAAGTCTTTCTAAAACAAAACTTCTCCAACAGCCGAAGACAACTCCATATTCTTTGAGAGCTGCGGCATCGCTGACCTGGTGGCCACGTGTCACGGGGGGAGGAACCGTCTCCTGGGAGAGGCCGTCGTCAAATCCATGAAGGTAACAGCACACTCTTTCCTTGCTGAGTGGAAGGGAGTGTGTGTGTGTCTCTTCTTCTTTGCTCTGTTTTGATTAATATACCATCAAAATTGTCCAAAGTGGCTTCGGTTGTCTAGTGGTTAGGCTGCCGAGCCTCAGCCGGGTCTGACATTGTATCCTTGGGAAAGACGCTTTACTTGAATTTCCCATTTTGGCTCAGTCCTTTCATCTTGCTTTTGATGAAAAAAATCCCCATATGTATTGAATTGAAGTTGATATAGGTGGTGGGGGTTGTCTGATTTCAGAGGTAAAATTAGCGAGAAAATGGCTGCCGACGTTTGGTGACCGCCCAAGCTTAAGAGTCCTTGGAAACTGCAAATTTACATTTTTTGTGCCTTAAATCAATATTTAAATTATTATTTTTCAGTAAAAACCACACTCACACATTAGTGTCACGACGCAGTGGAATCACGCGCTCGTCAATTTTTGGGCATGTGGAGTTTTTGGTATCATCTGAAAGCTGATGTATTTGCCTTACTTTCAATGAAATAAATATCCATTTATCTTGAATAGAACTCAGGATATCTGCGATTGAAGGGAGAGAGGTCACCTGGTTTCAGTGGTGAAATTAACGAGAAAATCGCCGTCAAAGTTTGGTAACTCTAATAGCTAAAGAGTCTTTGAAAACTAAAAAATGTCACGTTTTACGCCTTTAATCAAATGTTTTTCAGCAAAATTCACATGGAAATGTGTTTTTATTATGATCATAAAAGAGGTTAAATTAAACCAAAAAATAAAAATTCAATAAAAATTTCCAAACTGTCGGAAGAATGCCAGTTTCTCCGATTTCGTTATTTTGACGAGCGTCTAATGTCACCATGCTGCCTCACATAGTATTCTGTACTGTTTGTCATATTCATATATCCCTTTTCTTACCGCTTTGCACGTGTTGTAATGTTTTCAGAAACGGGGAATGCCTGGAGTGGTAATGCAAATTAACAGCGTTGATCGTGTTGAGTTGGAATTTGGATTTTCCTGCTATTTTTTTACTTTACTGTTACCTTCAATTTGATTTTCAGTGCTAGAAACTTATTTGTGAGGAGTTGGCCTGTGGTACTTTTACTTTGTCCCTTCATCTTGTTTTTCGGAACTGGAAGATTATTTCATTTAACTTCCTTTTCTTCACTCTCATCTAGAGAGTGATGCGCGCTCGTATGACGTTCTGCAGTTATGAGCGCCGTAAAACGCTTACAAAAAAAAGGAGAGAGAAAGGTTAGAGGGCATTACCGTGTGGTCCAAACTCTTCAATATCATTCAACTGATTTTGTTTGAGCATTTTGCTGTTTTTCCTAAGCCCAGTACTACATTATGGTAATCTTTTGCTACGAGTTTTTGGGGTGGGGGTTTAGACACTGTATCATGCTTTCCTGTAGCCGTGCACAGCAGAAATATTTCTTTTTTTTTTAAAAAGGCCCCATCTATTTTTAGGTTTACTTAAAAGATAGGAAACAACCCAATTATTGGTAAAAAAATTGATGAAATAATACTGCCATTTTGTGTTAGTGGAGGGTGTGTGTATGTTTGTTTGTTTGTGTGTTTGTGTTAGTTGAGGGTGTGTGTATGTTTGTTTGTTTGTATGTCTGTATGTGTATGAGTGAGTGAGTGTGTGTGTGTGTGTATGAGTGAGTGTGTGTGTGTATACATGAGATTGTGAGTTTGTGTGTGTGCGTGTGTGTGTGTGTGTACTTGTGAGTATATATGTGTATATACATGTGGGTGTGTGTGTACTTGTGTGTGTATCTGTGTGTGTATCTGTGTGTGTGTGTGTGTGGTGAAACACCAGACCAATGATCCAGCGTCTGGACAACAAATATTATTCCCCCTGTCTTTATCTTGTCTTTGTCCTATCTTCCCCAGGATATCCGTCTACTGGAGAAGGAAATCCTGCGGGGGCAAAGTTTCCAAGGCCCTCTGATTGCCAAAGAGATCTACAGCTACCTCAAAGATAAAAACATGGTGGATCAGTAAGTGTCAAGGGTCGTGGGGG